TCAGCCTGGCTCTGGGGGACGCTGTGACCCCCCTCAGGCAGCCTCGCTGGCCCCAAGATACCCCCGAGTAGCTGCTGGGCCCCTTCTGCTAGAGGAGGGTGAAGCCTTGGTTCCTGCAGGGTTTGGGGTGCAGGCAGTGCCCCGGGGAGGTGCCTGTCCCTCGCTTCACCCCACCTCGTGCTGATGACTCTGCTCACCTCGGCCCACAGCGCTGCAGTCAACCTGTCCCGTCAGCAACAGCTGCTCTCACCACTGAAACACCTCAGACTGTAACTGAAGAGGGAAGAAAGAACCCAGGAAAGGTTTTCAGGAGCTCCCTGAGAGGGAGTCACAGAAGGCAGCAGAGGAGAGCCCAGCCCAGGCTGTATCTCCCTCCCCCCGGCAGCTCTGTGCCTCTCACCCCCACAGCCCGTTGATGCAGCCAGACAAAGCCGCGGGTGGAGCCTCCAGGGCCCGGCAGGAGCTGCGGGAGCCCCGCCTGGCCCTGCCCAGCTCTGGCTGAGGGGGAGCAGGCAGCCTGTGGGGACACGAACCTGCGAGCCTGCTCCTGGAGAGGGGACGGTGCCCCGAGAACAGCCATGGAGAAGATGGCCAGGGTCACCACGGCCCTGGGGGGCAACACCCTGAGCGGCCGCACCATGTTCTGCCACCTGGACGCCCCCGCCAACGCCATCAGCGTGTGCCGCGACGCCGCGCAGGTCGTGGTGGCCGGACGCAACATCTTCAAGATCTACTCCATCGAGGAGGAGCAGTTCGTGGAGAAGCTGAACCTGCGCGTGGGCCGCAAGCCCTCCCTGAACTTCAGCTGCGCCGACGTGGTGTGGCACCAGATGGATGAGAACCTGCTGGCCACGGCCGCCACCAACGGCGTGGTGGTCACCTGGAACCTCGGCAAGCCGTCCCGCAACAAGCAGGACCAGCTGTTCACGGAGCACAAGCGCACGGTGAACAAGGTGTGCTTCCACCCCACCGAGGTGTACATGCTGCTCAGCGGCTCCCAGGACGGGTACATGAAGTGCTTCGACCTGCGCAAGAAGGACTCTGTCAGCACCTTCTCTGGTACAGACACGGCTGCCGGTTCCCCTGTTCCCTGGGGGAGGCAGGGATTGAGGGCTTCGCCCTTCCTTTGCTTGTCCTCTTTCCCTGGGAGAGGCAGAGATTGAGGGCTTTGCCCTTTCCCCGTGCCCAGGAGGAAGGTTTGCTCAGGGTCAGGGTGTGATGCCCAAAGCAGGGAGGGAGGGAGCTGAGAGGCGTTTTGGTGCTTTTCGGTCCCTCTCAGCAGTGGGATGGAGATGAAGATGGAAGGTGGTCACATCACTCCCTGCCTCCCCTTCCCTCTGAACCGGGGACCCCCAGGGCTCCCCCAGTGGGGTTTGTAGCTCTGCTGGAGCTCTGTCCCACCGGATCTCGCCTTCTGTCCCTCAGGCCAGTCGGAGAGCGTGCGTGATGTGCAGTTCAGCATCCGGGACTATTTCACCTTCGCCGCCACCTTCGAGAACGGGAACGTGCAGCTGTGGGACATCCGGCGGCCCGACCGCTACGAGAGGATGTTCACGGCCCACAACGGGCCCGTCTTCTGCTGCGACTGGCACCTGGAGGACAGGTGGGGGTGGGCTGGGCCCTGGCAGCCACCTGGTCTCGCAGGGATGAAGGAGGCCCTAAAAACGGGGCTGGCAACTTTCAGGGGAGAGATCAGCATCTCTGGTATCTTGGTCACTGTGTCAGAGGCTGGGATGTTGCTGGAAGGTTGGAGCAATTGTTGCTTTGAGGGTTTGAGGCCGTGTTGGGGTGTTTTGGGGGCTTTCTTTGACAAATTAGGGGATTTGGAGGCGCTGGATTGCTAATGATCAGATATAGCAAGCAGGGGAGCCAGGGTACGCCGAGGGCGTGTGTTCTGTGACATGATTCAGCTGTGTTTGGTCATGTTTGCCTCCTCCTGCCTTTCCCGGGGGATGATTGGGAAGGGTCTGGAAGCAGCTGCTGTGGTGTGCAGGTCCCTCCTCGCTCCCTGCCAGGCAGTGCTGCAACTCCTCACGAGCTTAGGGAGACACTGAAATATGTTCAAAGTGGCCTTTTTCCTCTCTGCTGTGCCTGGCAAGAGGAAACCAGAGGTAGAGGGAACTGGTCGGACTGGGAGTGTGGCTCTAAAGGTGCAGGGCCCTAAGTGGGGGCAGGAAGAAGGGTGTTGCCTGACCTGGTTGTTGGAGAGAGGAGGTGTCAGTGGAGCAGCTGGGAGGATGCAGTTGCAGGCTGGCTGCCTCCCCGTGGCCTGGATGTGGTCAGTCTGTGCTGTGAGTGTTTCTGTGCCAGGGTGGGAGAGGGGAAGGGGCACAGATGCACGCTGCCGTCTCCCCATCTTCCTCCATCCTTCTCCCAGGGGCTGGCTGGCCACGGGCGGCCGGGACAAGATGGTGAAGGTGTGGGACATGAACACAACGCGGGCGAAGGAGATTTACTGCGTGCAGACCATCGCCTCGGTGGCGCGGGTGAAGTGGCGCCCCGAGTGCAAGCACCACATCGCCACCTGCTCCATGATGGTGGACCACAACATCTACGTGTGGGACGTGCGCCGCCCCTTCATCCCCTCCGCCATGTTCGAGGAGCACAAGGACGTCACCACGGGCATCGTGTGGCGGCACCTCCACGACCCCTATTTCCTGCTGTCGGGCTCCAAGGACAGCACCCTTTACCAGCACATCTTCAAGGACGCCAGCCAGCCCATCGACCGGGCCAACCCCGAGGGGCTGTGCTACAGCCTGTACGGAGACCTGGCCTTCGCCGCCAAGGAGAGCCTCATCTCCTCCGACTCCAACCGCAAGCCCTACATCGGGGACCGGCGCCACCCCATCTTCTTCAAGCGCAAGCTGGACCCCACGGAGCAGTTCGAGTACATCTCGTCCTCCAGCGCCCTCAGCGTGTTCGAGACGGACGTGGAGAGCGGCAGCATGGACTGGTTCGTGCACACGGCCAAGCAGTACGCGCTGGCCGGCCGGCCCCTGGCCGAGCTCTGCGACCACAACGCCAAGGTGGCCAAGGGCCTGGACCGCAACCAGGTGAGGTGTGGGACGGGGAGGGCAGGACAGGGCCTGGTTTGCAGCCCGGCAAGGTCTGGCACTGGCTGTCTCCCACGCAGGTGGCTCAGACGTGGACGATGCTGCGGATTATCTATTCCAGCCTCGGCACCGTGTCGTCCGCCAACCTCAACCACAGCATGGGCAAAGGCAGCGCTGCCCTCCCGCTCATGAACAGGTACGGGGGGTTGGAGCTGCACCGAAGGATGTCATGGCTGGGGCAGCTCCGTGAGTGGGAGAGTGGATGTGGCTCCTTTGGGGTGGAGTCCTGGAATCATATCATTGAATCACAGTGGCTTCGATTGGAAGGGACCTTAAAGCTCATCCCATTCCACCCCCTGCCAAGGGCAGGGACACCTTCCACTA